CTTCTTCTTCGTCTTTTCCTTCTTCTTTATCATCGACGTCGATTTTCTTATTCCTTATCTTTTCTTTCTTCTTCTTCATCGTCTACAATTTCTATTTCATTTCTCTCTTCTGATTTGTCTTCTTCTTCTTCTTCTTCCTATTTTGTTTTATTCTACTCTTCTTCCTATTCTTTATCTTTTGGTTTAGTTCTTCTTCGTATTTTTCTTATTCTTTTTCAGTTTTTATTCGTCTTCTTATTCAATCTCCAATTTTAAGGATTTTGCCTTCTTTTTCGGCCCCAATTTATTCATCTTATTTTTCCTCATATTTTCCTTTTCCTTCTTCATCATCTTTGACTTGTACTTTTTTTTCTTGATCTTCTTTTTCTCATATTTTTCTTCTTCTTCTTCTTCATCGTATTGGACTTGTACTTTTTTTTCTTCTTCCTCTTATATATCTTTCGATTGTCTTCTTCTGGTTTTTCTTGATCTCTTTCTCATCCTCACCTACTTCATTTTCTCATTTCTTTTTCTTTTATTTTGTTTTCTTCCGGTTTCCTTCTTTAAAACATCCTTTTTTATATCCTTATTCTTCTTCACTATTTCGTGTTCTCATATGCTTTTTTTATTCTCAATGGTTTTATTCGAATTCATCTTTTTTTAGTTTTTATCATTAACTACGTCTTCTTCTTTATACTTATACTTCTAAGTTATAAGAATTATAGGTGAATAAAAGTAAGAGCAATATATATGATTTATTAGGAAAACTATTTGTATGTCTTTTTAACAATAAATAACAATTATGAATGGGTTAAAATAAGAACAATATATAAATTATTAATAGCAAAAACTAATTAGGAATCTGTTTAATTGTTTATTTTTATTGATGGTAACTAAATTTAGAAAGTACATTAGGTAAAACAATTAAAATCCAAACACAACCAAAAATCAAAGAAAATTGTTAAAATAAGATAATTAAGGAAAATTAATCAAAGACAATGCAAGGAATTGACGAAACTTATACTAAAAACATTGAATGGATCTCCAAACATAAAAATGATTCATCATAGAAGCTGCACGTAACAAAGCAGTGTACATCATAAAAAGAAAGGAGTGGGAACCCATTGACTTTCCTTATAGATAGCTTCGACATACTCGGTATCATCGTGCATTAAACTCAAAGCATAACATGCATCTTTGAAAGTACGGTGGACAACACCATTAATTGTTCTTACATCCATCTAAAAACATGGATTTCGCGAACGACATGCAATGAAACCCTCATTTTTTCTCTCTCTCTCTCTCCATGTTGCACGAAACAATAGATGAAGCAGACGAAAAACAAATATACGAACTGGGATAAAAAAAAACTTTAGAAACTAATCATGTGCCGTTCTAAAAAAAACAAAAGAGCATGACATTTTCAGACGCTATAGATCGTCCAAACGACGTGATACAAAAGCGTACGAAAACAATCATATGCAAATTATTAATAAAATTATTAAATGATGAACAAACAAAAAGGGGAAAAGCGCTAGACATAAAAAAAACATCAGTGTTATATCTGACAAAACAAAGATCTATCTCTCTATATATATGAGTAGAGTGTTTCAAAGTTAGTAATTCGCGAGATCGTGACACCTGTCAAGATAAACAATTAAATTTTGACACGTGTTTAATAAATTTTCAATTAGATTCCGATATGTAATATTAATAATAAATGGAAAAATTATAATCGTTTCCGAATTCTAAAATGTAAAGTTATCAAATATATAAAGAAAATAGAAAATACAATTAAAATAAAAGCCAAAGTTAATAAAAAAAAATATAATCTATTTGTAATCTTAATCATACAAGATAATGTTACTAAATAAAAAAAACTAAAATATAAAACTAAAAAACATAAATTTTATTCTAAAATATAGAGATAATAAGAAAATAAAAATAAGTTTGATAGTTTTCACATTTAGATGAATAAAATTAAACAATGAATTACTAATTTAAAAAAGGAAAAAAATTAATTTTTTATTTCTATATAAAAGAGTTTTTTAGTTATTGTTTTTTTACCGGTTATAAAATAATAAACTATAAAACCCTATATATTTGGGTTTTTATTTAGTATGTATATAATCGGATGGACACATTAGATTTAACACCGATTTGGGAATGTTTTTGAAATCGCTGGCCCATAGTAGATCATTCGGGTTTATGAGGCCCATTTAGAGCTAATAAATCCATGTCACAAATTTTAACATGTAGGATTAGTGATTGACCAATGAAAACTAATTAAAATGACACATATTAATGACACGTAGGACGATCGTTCTGAAGACGACACATAAGATTTTTGACTTCGTAAATAATAGTATAGATTAAATAAAAATGGTTTTATCCCGAATATTTTGCCTCAATTTTATTAAGAAAAGGTCGTCAAACTTTTTATTTTGGGTCAGACGTAATGAAAATTTTATATAAAGAAAAGTGAGAATGCTCTTAAAACTAGAGATTGAAAGAGAAATCCCTGAAAATTGTCTGTTATCTAGGGACTAACAATGTGGAGTGCATATTCAACAACGAAACTGATCTTTATGATCTTGCTTTTGATGAAGACGTCATTGGGTCGATATATTATTCCTTGTACGGTTTATTATTATAATTGTGATTCCTTCTTATAGCTAAATCGTATTGTAAGTTCATGTTTTTTTCTTTGTTTTCCCTCAGCGTATACAGATTGGTTTCAAGAGGGGCATGTGACGATAAGGTGGGACATCATGAATGAAAGCTGTGATAATTACTCGGCTAATGTCACAATCTTGAACGACTTGGAGAATCACGACATTGAAAGTCCATGGGCACTACAGTGGTCATGGACCGAAGACGAAATCCTATTGAGCACTGTGGGTGTTAAAGGTAAACAACATGTGGCTGTTAAAGGTAAAAAACATGCCAATAACTCGGTAGGTGGCTACACCTTCAATTATGTGAAAATAGAACCAAACCGTTGCAAGGGCTGTGTGATTCCTTCGTCGTTTAGAGAAGCCGACCTTGCGAAAAGCTCATCGTCATTCCAAATTAATGTTGGCCGAGCTGGTATTGGATATAATAAGCCGTGCGGTAATGGTGTTGGATATTTTGAGTGGCCAAGATCGGTCAGCTTTACCTCACCAAGAACGAATTACATATGTCTTCCATTGATTTCAAGTAAAACTCGGGGTTATATGAGTAAGTTCATTGATTTTACTGGCACATCCTATATATTACCTTTGTCTTCTATTATTCTATAAGCTTTTATAATCACGGTCCTTTTATTTTGTAGATACTTGGAGTATGAGTTGCGGTCGTCGCGACAAACCTAAAAGAAAGTTCTACAAGATTCATAACAACGATAACTTATGAAGTTGTGGGAGTTGTTTTCATAACTTCTATGTGTGCAAATCGAAACTTCTATGAATGCACCTTACTCTAGACCTCGTTTTATTTTTTGTGTGCAAATCTTTTATTGTTACAACCGAAAAAATCACTACTACAACTTACTCTAGACCTCGTTTTAAAAAAAAAAAAAACTACTGTAGACCTATTGGAAGATGAATTTTTCTATCTTTTGTAGTTTTCATTCAAATAAGCCAATAAGCCATTATACTTGATTGTTAATTATATGCTTATTGATATATATATAGTCTTCGAGAATGAAACTGGCTAAGGAGAAAGGGAACAGAGCCGTGAAACTGATCTGTGTTTGTCTGCTTGCTAAACTACCATCCAAATCGTATTAATCTAGTCAAGATACCATCTTACCTCATTACTCATAATCATTGATACAAAAAGATAATGGCCCACTTGAAAAATTATACAATCAGAGTTCTGTAATAGAGCCAGTCATTCACTTGTTAAACAAATTCTAATAATGATCCTAAATCTTAACTGTACCTCACACACATATATAAGGGCTTTCTTGATATGATATACACGGAAAGAAAGAGAGAACAAAAGAAAACACAAGAAGAAAGATATCTTATATATAAAACTTGGCCAACTTTCTCTAGTTGCTTGCCCAATCAGCACTGGAGAAAGAGCCACCTGTCCATTTAAAATCTTAATGAAATAAACAATTAATCACATTTAAAGAAAAAGCATTAAAGAACATTAATAAATATTAATATGTATAACAAATATATTTAAATAAATAAATTCAAATTTATTTTAAATATATCAAAACTTATAAATATTATATAATATAAGATTTTTTGAAATACATCATTCCATTTCTTCTTTCTAAGTGATTTAAACTACATTTTCAAACTAAAAGTATAACTAAATTTTTATGAAAGTGAAAAAATTATCAGACTGAATAAGTTAAGAAGTTTTAAATAATCGTATATAAAACTCTAACTAATAAAATTATAACACACAAAAAATATTCAATAAATGATTAAAGAGATAAAAAATTATTAAAAAATAATAGTAAAAAAAAAGTGGATATATAAAAATGTCATACAAAGTTTTTTAGTAATTTTTAAAAAGATGTAATCAATAAAATATATATAATCAAAAAACTCAAATGGTAAATTTTTCTATGAGCTATTACGTTTTTATATATAAATTAAAATAGTAGATTTTTAGTCCCTCATCACCGTAAGAGAAAAATTGGATTATTTGGTATAACCGGTGTGGAAGAGATTACAAATAATTTATCATCTAGAAGAAATCAGAAAATATAAATATTTTAAACGAAAAAAACATTGATAGTAAAAATAAAATTTAATACAAATTTTAAAAATGTATTATTTAAAATATAAATTAAAACAAGATCCGTGCATATGCGCGGGTTCTCTCCTAGTATAACAAAAAAGTAGATTAAAAGAATAAGAAGAGAATGGGAAAAGGAGTAGTATCTGAGAAGATTGTGTGAGCCAAAACTCGCACAATCAGAAATTTGTTTAAGGAAAACTAAGGGATTAGAAACTTTTAGGGTTTATCGTTAAGAACATTAAGATCGAAAGAAAGTTTTTCTTGCTGTAAAAGTGTTTAGCTCTTATTGCTTAGGTTTGCAAAAGTTACATAACGAATCGTAGAAATCTCTTATTTATAATAACTTCTTAAACCGCCTCTCCGAGAATCTCGGGAGAGATTTTAGGCGTATTTCCTTATCGCTTCGTGCGGCCACCGTCATAATACTTCGCCTAGGACTTCTGTGGGCTTTCGACTTCCAAAGCCTTGGTTCGGCCCATTTTGGAAGACCGGCTCGGCCCAACACATAGGGAAACGATTTGGCACATGCCTCCTCTTGCGCTGCTAGGCCCGCTCACCATTCCTCTCGCAGCTCGGCCTATCTAACCTTCTCCACGGCTCGGCCCATCCGCCATTCGAATTAAGATGTGGCTTGGTCCACCTCGCCGAGGCCGTCGAGGCGCGGCTCGGCCCGAGTATGTTGAAATCCGTCTTGGTCTAAATTACCGAGGCGCGGCTCAGCCTAACCACGTTTAAGTGCGGCTCGGCCCACTCTTCGTCTCTTACGGCTCTCCCCACTGATCTGTCTCCACACTTAGTCGTTTTGAGATGGTTTTATCCGCTTGGGGTGGAAACCGACCCCAACAGGTAGCCCCCCAGCTCGTCAGTTTCGGAGGCGAGAGTGACGAGGTCCATTACTCCTGACCGTAGGATAAACCATCGAGTCAAGCTGTTGCGATATAAGCCCAAGTGAGGTGTTTTAGAAATAAAGATACCGAGGCGTTCCCAAAGATTGCCGAGGATGCCGAGGCGTTTCAAGAAGGTGCTGAGGATGCCGAGGCAAGTTAAGGACGAGGCGATTCCGTTTAGTGTTGCCGAGCCGTGATTCGAGTTTAACGACAAGGCGTTCTGAGAAGGTTATGCCGAGCCGAATGAACGGCGAGGCGTTTTGAGAAGGTTATGCCGAGCCGAATGAACGGCGAGGCGTTTTGAGATGGTTACGCCGAGCCGTTTCGTTAACGACGAGGCGTTTTGAGATAGTTATGCCGAGCCGTTTCGTTAACAACGAGGCGTTTTGAGATAGTTATGCTGAGCTGTTTCGTTAACGACGAGGCGTTTCAAGAGAAAGGTAATGCCGAGCCGTTTCGTTAACGACGAGGCGTTTACCATGGTAAGATATCGGCTGAAAACGCGGGTATCCCAACCGTTAGTCTTCCGAAAGAAAGTTCCTGATAAGATATTGGCGCGTGCAACCGACGCAGTTTGAGCTTGCTAATTCACCGCGGATCCCACGCGCTGTTGGACGGTTTCCCGAGGTTCACACGGAACTCACGCGCTTTGGTTTTCCTATAAATAGGTGAGCTCCTTCATTCTTCTTCATTATCTTCAGACTCAATCGTTTTCACTAAAGGTAGCTCTCCCTTCTCTCTTCTTTCTCTCTCTAGTTTATTTATTTTCCGGCTAGGGTTCCGAGGTCTCTGCCGTTCCAGATCTTTTTCCGGCGGAAGCTCGTCGCATTGTGCTGTAATTCCTGTATAAGTTGTAAATTATGTCGAGCTGCTCCGACGATTTGCTAGATTCTCTTTTTCATTATGAGCCGAGCCGCGTAGATGCCGAGGCGAGAGGTACAGCAGAATCCTCCAAGGCAACCGTCTCACCGAGCCCTTCCAATCGTTTACCTGGGAGTGACGAGGCGTCGAATCATACGAATCCGCCAGACATCGGCTCTCCAGATAACGAGCCGTCGGTTTCGACAAGCCGTCCCCAGGATCCCGCTCCTAACGAAGATATTAATCGTGCCGCGGTCAAACCCGAGGAGGAGGCTTTTCCCTTTGATTTACTCGAGGCGAAGCGTGAGTTCGAACGTCTCATGGCATCTCGAGGCGCTTCTTCATCTAGGCGAGGGCAATGAGTTAAAAGACATAAGCCTGACCCGCCTGGCTCTAGGCTTTCCTCCCTTGACTCACTCGAGGCGTTGAGGCATCACTTCGGGATATCCGAGGCGGTGGAATTTATTGTTCCAGAGAAGAACGACCGAGTCGACAAGCCTCCCGAGAATCACTTCACTCTATACGAGGCGTTCTCCGAGCTTTGCTTTCTCTGGTTTCCAATCCCCGGAGTTATCCTCGAGTACCTCTGGAAACATGGGATCTCAATCGGGCAGATCATGCCGAGGGGTTTGCGGCACATGATCGGCATTTTGGTTCGGAGCTTCGAATGCGGGGTCGATATTAAACTGAATCACTTGCTGAACTTGCTGGAAATCAGGAAAGCCCCGAAGGGAAATAGATTCTACATTTCCAACAAGTCCAACCGCCGGATTATAGGCGGCTTTCCAAGCAAGGACCAGTTCTGGACCGAGCGCTTTTTCTATGTCTTAGTGAACGAGGCAGTTGGCGAGATTACGTTCACAGAACCAAGACCGCTTGGGGACCACTTGGTAGCCGACCCGAAGCTTTGCCTCGGCTCGGAACTTTTTTTGTGTATTATCTTCCCTTACTGAATTTGTTTTCTTTTTGCATTGTTTTGCAGTTCGGAGCTTTCTCCCCCCGATTCCCGACGACCTCTTTGTTGTTCGAGACTCTCTTTCGGCTCGGAAGGTCAATTGGAGGAAGAATTTCACCCTCGAGAGAGTGGAAAAAGCCTGAGCCATCCTTGCCAGAGTCCCTGTCAGTTCTTCATCCTCCAGTTCTTCAAGAGATACCCGAGAGAAGATGGTGATAATCACTCTCAGAGATAAGAAGAGGGGTGAAGAAGAAGAAGCCGTGAGACGAGCTGCCGAGGCGTCTCAAGCGCAGACCGAGACCGTCCCTCAGCCCGATCCACCGAGCCGAGAAGGAGACGAAACGGTCCGAGCCGCGGAGGCGAATACTGCCGAGGCGGCTGAGAAAGATGCAGCGCCCGAGGTGGAACCGGGCGAAATTATTCCTGAGGCGTCCAGGGATGAGTCGGCGGCGCGGAGTAAGACTCCTTCGAACTCCGCCATTCTGGCCCTCCCAAAAGCATCGAGGCCGCCGACTTCGGTTGTGCAGAAACATGACCCCAGCCGAAAACGTTCGGCCGCTGACAAGGAGAAAGGCGTTGCTGTTCAAAAGGACGAGCCGTCCAAGAAGAGGCGGAAGCCAACGCCCGGAGACCCCGCTGCGCGTAAATTGGTCGTCGACAACCCCGACGCCTCTGCCGTGATGTTCGCGCGCGTTAATAACGTAAACACGCGTCTTCCTCCTCCGGAGAAGCTGATGAGGCCGAGGTCGTACGGTGCGATGGCACAGCGCGGTACCAAGGTATGTTCTATTTGCTTTCCTTTATTTTCGCGACTTTTTACTAAGTGTTTAGCGCGTGTTGTTCCTTGCAGTTTGTAGCGGCCATCAACGAGCTGATGGCTGAATACGAGGCGGACCTGTCTAAGGTCGAACGCCACTTGGACGAGGCTCGAAACGAGACCGCGGTGACGAAGGGGAAGCTGGACGAGGCGATGTCCAGAGTATCGAGGCTGGAAGAGGAGAAGATAGTTCTCCCCGCCGACGTTGACAAGGTCTCCGCCTCGGTGATTCGCCTAGAGGAGGTTAGGAGAGCCAAAAACGCCGAGGTGGCGTTGCTCAAAAGGCGTATCGAGGCCAAGGATGCCCTCTTCGACGCCAAGGTCAAGCGCGCGAAAAAGGAGGCGAGGCGAAAGCTGACTGCTAAGTTTTAGGAACGCCTCGCCAAAATAGAGGAGGGTTTGGCCAAACTCGAGAAGGCCAGAACCGACAAGAACGAGCTGGGGAAAATCAAGGGCAACCTTGCGATGATTGCCGTCCTGAAGAAACCAGACGCCCCAACGCTCGATGATGAGGAGGAGCAGCTAAAGAGCTGGGAGAGCGAATATGCCAACGACGATGTGTATGAGCGCATTGCCTCCGAGATTCGAGGTGAGCTGGTTTTCTCGCCCGTATCGCCAAACTCGGTTGACACAAGCCTTGGTAACGAGCCGCTCGAAGAGACAGCGACCAACTTAGGCGTCGTATATACGAACGGATCGAACGCGGGTACGCCGGTCCTCTCGAACCCTTTTGCCGAGCGTGAAACACAGTCCGCGGCCTGATACTCTCTGTTTTCCCTTTCCTTTCATCGCGAATGTTTTTGTACTTAGGCTTTTTGGGTGATTTGCTTTTCGAACCTTTTGTGTAACCGGTGCCTGGATGGCTTATCCACCTGACTTTTATTTTTGCTTTATGGATATATTTTATTTTCCTTAACCGTTTTCGGATTCACTTGTCTCTAACGATCCATGAAAATGTTTACGAAAACTGTTGGCTTAGAAAAAATTGTCAAGGATGAAAACTGTTGTGTCGAGAATGATTTTGTTTGTTTCCTTAGCCGAACTTTTCGAAATTGATAGAAATACGGGCTAAGAGGTGAATTGTTTAAGGATCTCTTTTGGGTTCTTAATCCCGAGCCGGGAGTTAGTTTTGTGGAGTGTCTTTTGTTTTAGGTGATTCTGGAAAGTTTTTAAATGACAACATCAAGGCAACTTTTGTTGGCAATGCCGAGCCGTGTTTAACGACGGGGCGTCTTTGCTTTGCATGGTGCTGAGCCGTGTAAACGACGAGGCGTTTTCTCCTTGCATGGTGCCGAGCCGTGTAAACGACGAGGCGTTTCGTTTTTGTTAACTGAGGATGATCTGGTGGTCTTGTTGAATTTGACTATAGACAGGCGTTTCCGCGAGGATGAGTGTGTCTTGCCGGGTTCTAAGAGTTCACTTCGGTTTTAGAGAAAGCGATGTAGTCTCGAGTTATAATCTCGTGTGCGATAGTGAACTGTGGCGACCGATACGTTTTTGGTCTGATATTTGTATAGCGCGCTTTAACTTTTATCCATAGAGGATGTAACTTGCACCCTCGTCCTAGGAAAGGTGGTAAAAGTCCGTTTAGAGAACTTTTTATTTGTTGCCCCGTTGTGGCCAGCAACGAGACTAGGCATTCGGAGGCTTAGTTGCCGAACTGAAACTGAAGACCACTAAAGGTCCGAGGCAATCAGGTCATGATACCATGTCAAAGTGGTATGATTACTTGCCGAGGTGAGTGAAGAATTTAAAACTCCGAGCTCGTTAAAATAAGTTGCTGATTTAGAAAGAATGAGAAACTAGCCGAAGCGATAATGAACGAACTAGAAATCCGAGGTAAACATGAAATAAGTAGATGATTTAAAATGAACTGAAAACGGGCCGAAGTGGCGATGTTCCTAAGTGAGCAAGCTGAAATTGTAGAGTTAAAGGAGGTATGTGTATACGTACCCACTCCCCCCCCCCCTTTTTAGGAGGGGGGACAGCTGAACCCGTCCGAGGACGGGCTGTCTACGTACCTTTTGCAGGGATCAAGCCGTCCCGTAGTTCATGTTGACCGTGTTGTGGCTTTAGTGATAAAACTTCTTTAGATGCATTGCGTTCCATGATCTTGGAATCGCTTCGTCAACTAGCATCGCGAGTTCGTAGACTCCTGGGCGAGTTACTTTTGTAATCTTGTAAGGGCCTTCCCAGTTTGCCCCGAGCTTTCCTGCATTCATCTCGGCAGTGTTTTGGAAGACCTTTCGGAGGACGAGCTCCCCTTCTTTGAATCTTCGACTACGAACGTTTTTGTTGTAGTATCTCGCCGTTGCTTGTTGATAGTTCTGGATTCGGATTAAGGCTTGGTCACGCTTTTCGTTAATTAGATCGAGCTCATCTAGCATCATTAAGTGGTTCAAGCCCTCCTGTTGTGGTAGAAGTCTTCGTCGAATACCTGGGAAATCCACCTCGGAGGGGATTACGCACTCTGTTCCGTAGACCAAGGCGAATGGAGTTTCCCCGGTGGCTCGGCGCGGAGTTGTCCGATGAGACCAAAGGACTCCTTCGTGTTCGTCTGCCCACCGTCCTTTCTTGGCGTCGAGCCTCTTTTTCAGACCGTCGAGGATCGTCTTGTTGGCTGCTTCGGCTTGCCCGTTCCCTTGAGGGTATCTTGGCGTAGATTTGCTTAGACGGATTTTCCACTTCTTGCAGAAGGCTTCAAAGCGTGTTGAGATGAACTGGGATCCGTTGTCGGTGACTATCTCGTAGGGGACCCCGTGTCTGCAGATGATATTTTTCCAGATGAAGTGTTCGACTTGAACATCCTTTATGCTTGCGTAGGAATCGGCTTCGACCCACTTGGAAAAGTAATCCGTGAGGACGAGCAGAAAACGCTTCTGCTTCGAGCGATGTAGAGGTCCGACGATGTCCATCGACAATCTCATGAACGGATAAGGTGACGAAATTGACGAGAGCAACTCGGTAGGTTGATGAATTGTTGGAGCGTGCCGCTGACACTTCTCGCACTTCGCTGTAAATTTTTCGCAGTCTTTGACCATCGTAGGCCAGAAGTAACCGTGCCGTTTTATCTTGATAGCAAGCGACCTTCCGCTAGAATGGTTCTCGCACGCGCCGCTGTGCACTTCGCGCATGATCTTTCTTGCCTCCAGTCCATCGATGCATGTCATGAGAGGCCCTGAAAATCTCCATTTAAACACCTCGCCATCGACGAGGACATACTGCGCGGCCAGAGCTTTTAGTTTGCAGGCTTCCCATTTGTCGATTGGCACCTCTCCGTCGGCGATATACACTCGGATAGCTCTGAGCCATTCTTTTTCGCAGCCGTACTCCGGCTCGGCTGGTGAGGCGTCTTCATCCATAGGAATGGCTTCGTCGTCCTCTGGTTCTTGTTGAGGAAGATTTATCAGCTGAACTCCTTCTACCTCTTCGATACTAGGACGTTTGATGAATTCGACTGGGATCATCCGTCGGAGGTCCGGGTCTGAGGTCGAAGTGAGTGCTGCCAAGGCGTCGGCCGAGGTGTTTTCTCCTCAGGGAATTCGCGTGAGTTTGAACTCGTCGAACTTTTGCACCAACTCTCGGACCACCTTGAGGTAAGCTCCCATTCGTCCATCCTTCGCCTCGTATTCTCCGTTGAATTAACATGCTACGAGCTGTGAATCGCAAAAGGTTCTTATCTTTCGAACTCAGATTCCCTCCGCGAGTCGTATGCCGGCGATCAGTGCTTCGTATTCTGCTTCGTTGTTCAAGGAGTGGAAGTTCAGACGAAAAGACTGCTCCAATATTTCTCCGGTGGGAGAGGTGAGACGGATTCCTATTCTCGAGCCGTGTTTAGACGACGAGCCGTCGACGTGCAGCGTCCATACTTCGTCTAGAGTCGGCTCGTTTGTTGCTTCGGCTGGAAGCTCAATGAGAAAATCTGCGAGCACCTGGGACTTTGCAGACGACTTGTTCCGATAATCGATGTCGTATTCGCTCAGCTCTATGGCCCACTTGGCGAGCCGACCGGATTGGCTTGGGCTGTGTAGGATCGAGCGCAGCGGAAGTGTAGCGAGCACAACAATCGAATGTGATTGAAAATACGGGCGCAGTTTGCGAGCCGAGACTACGACGGCTAGGGCGACCTTCTCGATCTGGGGGTAGCGGGTCTCGGCGTCGGTCAGTGTCTGGCTGATGTAGAAAATGGGTTTTTGCTCGGATCGTTCTTCTCTGATAAGCACTCCGCTTACAGCTATAGCAGACACTGCGATGTAGAGTAAGAGCGGCTCTCCTTCGACTGGTTTTGCTAAGATCGGTGAGCTCGCCAGATAATTCTTCAATTCCTGGAAAGCTGCTTCGCATCGCTCGTCCCACTCAAATTTCTTGTTTCCTCGGAGGGTGTCGTAGAAGGGCAGGCACTTGTCTGTGGAGCGGGAAATAAACCTGTTTAACGCAGCGATTCTTCCTGTGAGCCTTTGCACTTCGCGCTTCGTCCTTGGAGAAGGCATCTCAATTAATGCCTTGATCTGCTTGGGGTTTGCTTCTATGCCTCGGTGAGTTACCAGATAGCCGAGGAATTCTCCCGAGGTGATCGCAAATCTGCACTTCGCCGGGTTTAGTTTCATGTTGTGCTTGTTCAATTGCTCGAAGCACTCCCGTAGATGCGCGACGTGGTCTTCCTCCTTAAGTGATTTGACTAACATGTCGTCGATGTACAATTCCATGGTTTTTCCGAGCTGAGCCGTGAACATTTTATTGACAAGCCGTTGATACGTTGCTCCTGCGTTCTTGAGCCCGAACAGCATGACTTTGTAGCAGTATATCCCGCGATCAGTTATGAATGCCATTTTTTCCCGATCATCGGGGTGCATCATAATCTGATTGTAGCCAGAGAACGCGTCCATAAATGTTAACATTTTATTTCCTGCAGTGGCTTCGACGAGCCGGTCGATGTGCGGCAAGGGAAAGCTGTCTTTTGAGCACGCCTTGTTGAGGTCAGTGAAATCCACACAGACCCGCCACTTGCCGTTCTTCTTCTTCACGACCACCGGATTTGGGAACCAGTCCGAATATTTGGCTTCGGCGATTGATCCTACTTTGAGTAACCTCTCGACTTTGTTGTTAACTGCTTTAGCTCGTTCGGGGCCGAGCTTCCTTCTTTTCTGCTTGACTGGCTTAAAGGTCCGACCCACATTCAGCTCGTGACAGGTTACGTCGATGCCTATGCCTGGCATATCTTCCGCTGTCCAGGCAAAAGTTCTCCTTGAGGAGGGAAAGGAGTTCGCTTCTTAGAGGCTCTTCTAGTTTTGTTCCAATTTCGACGCATCGCTCCGGGCGCGCCTCGTCTATGCACACGGAGTCGACTGCATCACATACCGGCTCGGCGCGTG